CAAAGGAAGATCCTGAGTCTTCAAACAGGCCATCTGAACTGGGGTTGTGGTTTGCTCCGGCATTCACAGCCATTGAGGAAAGAGGAAACTTGGAAAGGCTTCTCAGCTTCAAATACCTTGGACTCAGGACTAACTGAGACTGTAACGTATATTTTCCTTCACCCCTCTGAAGTTTCCAGCTCATTGCTTTAAAGAAATAACTCTTTGTGATCAATAAAACTTACCTTGAGTTATTTACAGCGTTTTGGGTTTTTGGGAGTTCCAGTTTCCTATAGGAGGGCAAGAAGCAATCCCCTGGGGAACGATGCCACATCCATCCCTCCTTCATTAAGAATAATAGCCCCCTGGTGTGACGGCACAGTTTGGTTCAGAGCTCTGCTGAAACCATCCGACTGACTTGCCTGACTGTGAGAGCTGTTCAGCAGTGGAACTCTCTGCCCCAGAGTGTGGTAGAGGCTCTTTCTTTGGAGGCTTTTAAACAGAGGCTGGATGGCCATCTGTTGGGGGTGCTTTGAACACGATTTCCCTGCTTCTTGGCAGACTGGGGTTGGACTGGATGGCCCATGAGGTCTCTTCCCTCTCTATGATTCTATGACTCTATGATTGTATGAGACTAAAGGAGGAGTGAGTGACCAGTGTGTGGACATACTGGGACCTGGCAGTGGAAGGGGGAAAGCATGGTGCTGAAGACGCCATGAGTAACACTCACCTCTGACTCCTATAGAATACAGTGTGACACCACCAACTGCCATGAATCTATGCTATGGAATCCTGGGAGCTGTAGTTTGGTGAGGCACCAGGACTCTATGGAGCTGGGAGGGAGGGGCTCGAAGGTGGCTTCCATGGCGAGTGCAGAGGGAGAAGCCCCTCTCGTCATGCTGCGGGAAGGATGCCAAAGGCCTCGTGGGCAGGTTCTCCACAAGCAAGGCCAGGCTTTAGCACAGCAGGTTAATCACCAAGCTGCAATAACCTTGCCAACCAGAAGGTCGACAGTTCGAAGCCCGGGACAGGGTGAGCTCCTTACCTTGAGCCCAGCTTCTGCCAACCTAGCATCTTCGAAAGCAAATATTAGATAAACAGGAACTGCATTAAAAGTGGGGAGATATTGATTTAGGTTTGGCGTTTGGATCAGAAAAAGGAGGAAGTTTATGAATAAAGAAAGCTCTTAGCAGGGAAGGTGGAGCGAGAGCACCCCCGGTGGCCGGAATTGAGCACAGCCTCCAAAGATGCCAAAAGATGGGGGAAAGCCTATATACCTCTATGTTACAGTAAGTTGTAGCAGGATCAAGTATGTGTTAAAGAAAAACCTTGTGATGTTAATAATTATGTGCAGCTGGTAATGTAGGTCAGCTAGCATGTTTGGGCCATACTTGGTGGGATGTAACTGTATGGGTTTTAGAATACAGTTTGGAGAAGCAATATGCTACTCTGAGGAAGAGAAGCAATGTGCTGTCGTGCTGCTATGTTCTAACAGCGATGCTCTTTGCTATGGTGGAATAGCTATTTACTCCAGGTTTATGTTTTGCTCTCTCATTTGAATGAAGATAAAGAACCCTCATTCTGGGTTACTTACAAGGACTATGTAAGTTTGCTGCAATGTTTGATTTTGTATGCAACACTGCAAGTTTATGCCTCTGCTAATGAGTAAAGTTTTTCTGTTCCTTTTGTGTGTCTTTTGCACGGGACTTGGCTAAAATCCGCTTCTGCGCAACACTCTATCTCAGTGGTTCTCAACCTTTCTAATGCCGTGACCCCTGAATACAGTTCCTCATGTTGTGGTGACCCCCGACCATAAAATTATTTTGTTGCTATTTCATAACTGTAATTTTGCTACTGCTATGAATTGTCACGTAAATATTCGATATGCAGGATGTCATAAATTTCATTGTCATAAATTGAACATAATTAATGCATAATAGGCATCTCTGCCTATGAACCCACCAGGAGTTTGAGATCTTCCGGGGAGACCCTGCTCTCGATCCCGCCTGCTTCTCAAGCTCGGCTGGCGGGGACGAGAGATAGGGCCTTCTCGGTGGTGGCTCCTCGGCTGTGGAACGCCCTTCCTACGGACATTAGACTAGCACCATCTCTAATGGTATTCCGCAGAAAGGTGAAGACCTGGATGTTTGTGCAGGCGTTTGAGTAATTTAGTGCAATCTGGTAATGGAACATAGGAATGGAAGAATGGACGACGAACCTGGACTACGCTTGGATGATGAGAAGATTGGGTACGGTTGTTTTTCGTAATAATTGTGCATTGTAATTGCTTATTGGTAATTTATGGATAATGTGTTAAGTCAATTGTTATATGTTGTATGGAACCACTGCTGTTTCTACTGTTTCTACTGTTTGTGAACTGCTGTGAGTTGCCTTCGGGCTTGAGATACAGCGGTATATAAGCAAAGTAAATACATAAATAAATAAATAATGATTAATCACAAAAACAATATGTTTGGGGGAGTATGGACAACAGATGATCGTATTTGCAGTACCTTCGACCAATTCAGCTCTAACCCCTTGCCTGCCTAGCGCCCTTGCCGGATGGTGAGTGTGTGTGGCAGGCGAGGCAGGCCTTGCGCGAAGGAGCCCTCGCCTGGCCCGCGCCCTTGGGGTGGGGCCAACAGAGGCGGCCTCGCGACCCCTCCGAAATGGCCAGACGACCCCCCTGGGGGTTGCGACCCCCAGGTTGAGAACCGCTGCTCTATCTATTGCCCGTCTTGTCATTGTTATAATTGATATTGCATGTTTGCCATATATGTGTTCTGTGACCTGCCCTGAGTCCCCTTCATGGTGAGAAGGGAGGAATATAAGTACTGTAAATCAATAAATAAGCAAGGTACCCCCCCCCCCCCCGAGTCCCAGTCATACGGCCCAAAGAAGTTTAGCCTATTTTACTACTGCCGAGTTGTGCAGGCCTGTGCTTCGGGTAAAGTGTCCCTTCCTGAAACCATTAGTTTGCAAAATCCTGTGGCATTAAGAGCTTGGGCGTTTCCCCCCTAAACCAGTAAAATCAGTGCATGGCTGCTATCATTCCCCCTTACTGTCAGGACTCGGTTTCCTGGCCTCGGACATTGGCGCAAAAAACCCCCGTCCTGACTTGGAGGGCTGATAAGGATGTGCAGCTGGTGGCCTTGAGGGAAAGCAGTTGATAGTTGGCGGGGAATATTGGCGGGATCCCCGGCTGGCGGGAAAGGGGAATTCAATTGTGAGGGAGGGTATAAAAGGGGTCGACTTGCGGCTGCGTGCCAATCCTGGCTTTCGTTGTGTATGCAATTCCAGTAGTAAAGGTTTCCTGACTGATTACGGATTGGCGTCCTGTGTCTTTTCTGGGAGCGGCTGCTGTGAGCTTACACCTTACCCTCCGCCAAAATGCAACATTGCTGTTGTATGTCAGCCTGTTCAGCCTGTGATTGTGTCTGATGTCCATGTTGATGTCCATGATGGGGATGATGTTCCTGGTGGTGGACCTGGGTCTGTTGGCATTGGGGATGAGGGTTGCGGATGAGAGGTCTGCGCTGTCTCAAAAAAATACACAAGGCCACATTCTTGGGAGAGGCCCTTCACCGTTTTTCTGAGAGCAACGGTCTGAAAATGATTTGTCAGGTGCAGAAGTGAATGAGGGAGAAGATAATGAAAGCTTGGACAGAATGCAAAGTTTTAGTAAACAGAATCAAAGTCTTCAGAGACTGAGACAATCAGTTTGTCCACAGCAAAAGAGAGATAACAAAACAGTTATCTGGTGAAACGTCAGGAGAGAATGCCTCTAGACCAGTGGTTCTCAACCTTCCTAATGCTGTGACCCCTTAAAACAGTTCCTTATGTTGTGGTGACCCCCAACCATAACATTATTTTCATTACTACTTCACAACTATAATTTTGCTACTGTTATTAATCGTAGTGTAAATATCTGATATGCAGGATGTATATCCTTTGGACCAAACTCAAATACTGGTGGGATTGGGGGGGGGGGGATTGATTCCATCATTTGGGAGTTGTAGTTGCTGGGATTTATAGTTCACTTACAATCAAAGAGCATTCCGAACTCCATCAATGATAAAATTGAATCAAACTTGGCACACAGAACTCCCATGATCAACAGAAAATACTGGAGAGGCTTGGGGAAATAGACCTTGAGTTTTGGAATTGTAGTTCACCTACAGTGGACTCAAAACAATGATGAATCTGGATCAAACTTGGCATGAAAATCAGTATGTCCAAATGTGGACTCTGGTGGAGTTTAGGGAAAATAGACTTTACATTTGGGAGTTGTAGTTGCTGGGATTTATCATTCACCTACAGTCAAAGAACATTCTGAACCCCACCAAGGTTAGAATTGGGCCAAACTTCCCACATAGTACCGCCATGACCAACAGAAAATACTGTGTTTTCTGGTGGTCTTTGGCGACCCCTCTGACACCCCCTCACGACCCCTCCAGGGGTCCCGACCCCCAGGTTGAGAAACACTGCTCTAGACCATGGCCATATAGCCCGAAAAACCTACAACAACCCAGTTATCTGGTGGGAAGGTCAAGAGAAATGCTTTCCTTTCAGTTTTGGGATCTGGAAAAGCTTTATAATGATTCATGGGTGAAAGTTGCCTCAGTCGAGTCAACGTTGCTACTTTATCATGGTCTTGCTTTCAAGTGCTCTGGGTTTCATGTATCAAGTTTTTGCTAAGCTAAAGATTTATGAGATTTTCCTGCTGTCTTGTTTCATGGATTCAAGTGCCTTGTTTCATGGATTTATATGTATTCATGGATCTTGTTTTCCTTTGACACTTATGGACTATCTCATATATCGGACTTCTACTGTTTTTTTGCTATTTTTTACTGCTTTGCCTACATATATTCTTCAATAAACTGCTTGCTGATTTTACCAAGCTTGTGTGGGGTTTAAGGTCAGAGGTGTTGTTGCTATGGTGTACGACAATGGTGACCCATGTGCCTGAGGAGAAACCCATGCCCCCCCCCCACGCCACATACTTGATGGCTGTCGTGGCATAAAAGACCAATTGCTTTTTATTAAACATTTTCTTCTGTTTTCACCACACACTCCAGAAAAAAATGAGAGAAAAAAATAAATTTGACATAAAATAAACTCGAGAGCTTGAAAGAGAGAGAAGAGCCTGGGGAGCTCCCTATGAGTCTGGGGGATTCGTGCCCCCCACGCCCCGAACCCCCTCCCCTTTTGGGTCAGAGAGAGAAGAGAGAGAGAGAGAGAGAGAAAGGAAGGAAGGAAGGAAGGTTGCTCTCTTTCTTATGTACAGTACAAATCCCGCGGTAATTACACCTGGGGGGGCAGGCCGTTGTGGGGAGCAGGCAGCCAGGGGCGGGCAATGGGTGGGGGTTCCTGGGAAGAGGTTTCACATATATACAAACTTTTATGTTATAATAATAATAATAATAATTAATAATAATAATAATTCATTGTCATCATAATAATACGTATAAATATCTACGGCGCCGCCAGAGGCACCGTCCTCATCGGGGTGGGGTGGGGGGGGCGGGGAGGGGGGCGAAAAGAACGAGACAGAGCGAGCGAAGGAGGGGGGAGGGGCGCTAAACAAAAGAGAGATGGGTGGGGGGCTGCTAAAATGGCGAGTGGGGAGGGGGCACCGGAATAGCCAGAAAGAGAAACACCCACGACACCCACGCACCGAGCGTGACCACGACCTGCCCCCCTGACCCCGAGCGACGGCGGCAGTAGCGACTGACCGACTGACCACCGGCCGGCTGGACGACTGACCCGCGAACCGACTGGCGGACGGGCGGACAGACGGGCGGACAGCGAGCGAGCAAGCGAGCGAGCGAGCGAGCAAGCACCACACGAGTGGGAGGGGGGCCAGTCCCCTTTCCCTCCGCCTCCCTCCCCCGCCCCACATTGGGGGCCACTGGGGGGCAGCAGCATCCCCCCACCTCCCCACCTTCCCCACCCCACCCCACCCCCCGCCCTGAGCACCTGCACAAAACTGGGCAGTTCAAAAATGGCTTCTTCTTTTGGAGAGAGAGGGAAGGAGGGAGGTGCAAGGGTGGGAGCCCGACAAGCCCCTCACCCAGAAATATGGGGGCTGGGTGGGGGTCTCTGAGGCTGAGGGAAGAAGGGAAGAGTTGCCCCCCACCCTGCTTTCCTAACCCCTCCAGAAAAACAGAGCGAGTATCTATAGCAAGGAGGAAGAGGAATCCAGAAAGAAAGAGAGAGAGAGAGAGAGAGAGAATATCTGGGGTGGGGGGCACTGTACAGAGCAGGCAAAGCCCTTTGTCGGAGAATGGAGCGCAGCAGAGATATGTGGTGGTGGTGGTGGTGGTGGGAGGGGGAGAACAGGAAGTGGGCCTGGCAGCCCCCTCCCCACATTCGCAAGTGGATTTCAGGGGGAGAGGAAGCACTGCCTTGCCTTGGAGCGCTGGAGGTGTGAAATAGGGAGGGTAGGGCCCACCCCTGCCCCTCCAGACCCCCCCCCATGGCTCCCCCCAGGATGTGGAAGAGCAGCTCCCTCCCCGCAATCCATCATGGCAGCTAGCTGGGGGGTCAAGGGCCAGCCTACCCCCCTGACCCCAAGGCAAAGCAGAAAGTGCTGAGTGGTGGAGAGTGGGGGGCACCTCTTTCCTGCCCCCCTCCACTACCATGGGAGGGGAGGGGAGGGGCAAGGGGCCACTCCTGAGAAATACCTGGGGAGGGGCAGAGGAAGGGAGGGGGAAGGGAGGGGCAGGAGGGGACCCCTCCCCTCCCGCCTCTGGGGCAGGAAGAGATCTCCTTCCGGACGGACGGGCGGTGGGTGATGGAAGCGAGGGGGTTGGGGGTAAGATTGTCGTCTGTGTCCTGCTATAAAACACCCTGAAGTTGCATCCGGGCCCCCCGACGTTGTGTGTGTGGGGGGACCCTGTGCCTGATGGTGGAGGTGGCGGTGGTCTGGACCGTGGACCGCCCCCGCCCCACTCACCCACCCCCCGCCCCCCCACCGTTGCCGCCACCGCCCCCGCCCCACCGCTGCCGTCCTAATTGGGGCGGGTGGGTCAGGCGGGCGGTCCGGGTGGGCCGTCGTCGTAGTCGGGGCGGGGGGGCGGTTGCTAGTGCTGCTCAGACGCGGTGTTGCGAAACTCTCCATTTTCCGTGATCTGGAGTCGCGGGGGCGGAGGCGGTGGCCCGGGGAGGATCCCGTTCCAGGGCGGTGGGGGTGCCATAGCGGCGCTCAGACGCAGGTTTGCTGCACCCACGGCGGGAAGCTGCCTCTCCTGTAACACAGACGGGGCCAGGGGGAGGGGAGCTTATTTATTAACGTTGGCGGCGATGGGGGGCCGCACCTCCTCACCCAGCACCCTCCGCACCCCATATCCCGCACAAGGGGGCAGGACCCCCCACTCTCCTCCCAGGGGACCTGAAGAGGGTCCCCACCCCTTCCTCCTCCCCACCCTCATTGGACCCCCACCCACAACTTCCTGACCTCTAACCTTCCTTGGTTCGGCCCCGAGGAGCCTCCACAGAGTGGCTTCAAAGCAGGGGATCTGTCCTAGTCATGGGGGCCCTCCTCCCACCATTGCTGTAACCCCAGTGACCCCCACTTTCCACCCCCAGGACCCTGTTTTTACAGGGGGCAAGATATACTTTTGCACCCTCAGAGGAAATGCCTGAAGTCAGGTACATCTTTACTAAGACAAGTGAAGCATCCCTGTCCCCTCCCCAGTCGCCCCACACCTCGAGTGTCAATGCAGCACGATCCCCAGCTTCCCTTTCTGAGCAGAGACAAAAGGCAGGGCTGCTCCCACACAATGCTGCTCCCCACTTCAGGCCCACTTTGCCTCCGGACCCCTTGGCAGCCCAGCTGCTGGTGAGAGCAGCCCCCTTTCTCAGTATTCGGCTTTTCCTTCACCAGCGTAAAGGGCTCCTAATTGGTTATAGGCAAAACACTGAGCCTAGATGGCTGGTAATTATGTGTGCTTCTCTCACTACACAGTGTAATCCCATAATTTTTATAACTAGTGTGTGTCAATATTTCAGTTTAAATTAGGATGGTTCACTCAAGAGAGTGTCAGGAGCCAATTTCTGACGGCACGAATACATCACAAATTCCCTCTGTGACATCCTGACTGAATCATCTTGACTGAATCAATTCTCTCTGTGACATTCTGAAGCCAGCAGAGGACGTTGTAAGCCATGATATGGAACTTGTGAAGCAACAAGTTCTAATAAGGAAACGGAGAAGAGGGGGAGATGGGCAGGAAAGGTGTATAAAAGGAAGAGGTGGTGGGGAAAAAGTCAGGAGTGTCTTTCTTTGCTGCAGAGATACATGCAATATATCCATTTCAAAGCAAGCCAGCTTGTGAGTGGTTATTTAATATTGCTATTTAGATCCTACAGCAGTGGTTCTCAACCTGGGGTCCCCAGATATTTTGGCTTTCAACTCCCAGAAATCCTAACAGCTGTTAAACTGACAGGATTTAGGGCTTGAAAACAACTTGGCACCTGCAGAAACTAATGAGCATATAGACAGGCAGGTGGAAATTAGCCAAAACAGACAGCTCAACCAAGGCCTTTGGTGTTCTGCCAGACTTTGATAGATAAGGATGAGGGGCATTCAGGGAAAATGAAACCAATTTCTGAGTGCTTGGAATGGCTTAATGAGGGGATATAAAGTTTCAAGAATGGGAAATATAGTCAGATGAAGCATCGTTTAGAATCCTGCTAAGTTCTTGCTCTTGTCTCATGGAAGCCTTGCTTGGAAGATTCATATTTAAGGATTTCTTGTTTTATGGTTTGACTCTTTGTCTCTTGTGATTACATACTCATGCCTTGGATCAACGTTTTCCTGGTTCTTTGGATTTTATTAGAGAAGTATGGACTTTGTTTTTGAACTTTGCTGAACCATACCTTAGACTAATTTGTACCTAATTGGATTTACCTATTTCCTCAAAGTGCTTTTTTTTTTACTTTGCTGCTTTTACTTATCTTCAATAAAAAAGGATTGTTTTCCTACTCAACGTGTGGTGTTTTAAAGTCAGAGAGTTATTCGTGTCCCGGAGTGCAACATCAGTAGATGTTTGATTGACATACCTACATAATCGGCATCATTTAAACTTTTCCCAGGCAAAAGGGGGTCACGAGTTGAAAGAGTTTAAGGAGCCCTGACCTAGGACCTCTTTCCCTTATCTATTGAGTGGCCTCCATCTCTTTTATATTTTTTCCTGTTTCCTATAATATTTCATCAGCAGTACATTTTGCAGACTCAAACCGGACCCACATCCAGCCTCCCAGGTGGGGAACGGCCTGTGATCTCCTGCGGAGGGGGGCTAGAGAACGGGACAGGCCAGAAGGGGAGGGGGAGATAAGATTTCCCCCGCATTAGGCCCCCACCCCATCATGCCACCCTAAGGGACAGACCCCTCTCTCTTCAGTTTGTACAGGGCGCTAGGACCCCCCAGCAACCCCCCACAAATGACCCCGCCCCACCCCACCCACCCCCATCCACTTCCACTGACCTCTGGGTACTGACCGTCCACTGCGCAGCTGACCCCCTCACCCTCCCGACTGAAAGCGCTCGGGCCCTCAGCCAGGTTAGCCTGCCCCCCTCCCTCACAACACAGAACCCCCTCCCCCGCCCCCACAAGGAGATGGACAGGACTGGTGCTGGGGTGGAATGTGGTGCGGACAGACACGAGAGAATAGGGGGCAGGTGTGTGGGGGGGGAACGGAGAGACAGACGGCAGGCAGGCAAGCAGGCAGGAGGAGGATGGGCAGGAAGAGCCTGGTCTTACCTGTGTGGGCCCCATTCACCTCCCCCGTGGGGCCCCTTGCCAGGCTCTTGGGCCCTGCTTTACAAGAGGGAGGGAGGCGACCTGGGAAGGAGATGTCCCACAGGTGAAAGAAGCTTCATTCAAGAGGCCTTGAAGGAAGAATGGCTACCCCATACCCCCCCCCCCCATTAGTACACCCCAGTGGAGGGGTGGAGTCTTCGCTTTTCTCGGTCTGCATTTGCTTAGCATGGGGAACAAGGTGTTAGAACACTGGTTCAAATGTAATGAAATATTGCTTGTAGTTTAAACTGTGTGTGGTGTAGCAATGCAGTGTAAGACTTAAATGCACAGAGCTGCGCTTGATTCCTAGAGCATAACTTTGAGCTTTCTGGTAATGTGTTTACATTCCAGAGAATCAGATAGCCATGTGTTTCAGCTTCCAGTGATGTACAGCTAGCAAATGGACGTGTTATAGTCTGCTCCTGTAAATAGTGTAAATTGCAATAAAAGGTAAGTGCCGCTCCGGGCTTTGGAGCTGACCGAGGTAGCACGCTTCATTATTTGCTTTTGTGCCTTTGAGCGGATGCTCAGGGGTCAATACATCAACATAAGGCCCTACTCCTACCCTTGCCATCACCACAGACATTGACTGACCCACAGAAATTCCCCATATGGAAAGTGGTGGAAGGGAGACCCCCTCTTCTATCTGTTGACTGTCCTGAGTCCCTACAGCAGTGGTTCTCAACCTGGGGTACCCCGATGTTTTTTGCCTCCAGCTCCCAGAAATCCTCACAGCTGGTAAACTGGCTGGGATTTCAGCGCTGTACAGCTAGCAAATGGACATTTTATAGTCTGCTCCTGTAAATAGTTTAAATTGCAATAAAAGATAAGTGCCGCTCCGGGCTATAACTCCAGGCATGGGGGAGTTATAGGCCAAAAACATTTGGCGACCCCAGGTTGAGAACCACTGCCCTACAGGGAGATAGGGTGGAATACCAATACATAATAATAATAATAATAATAATAATAATAATAATAATAATAATTATTATTATTATTATTATTATTACTACTATTGACACTAGAGAAGAGAGCGTGCCCTGAATCCACAGCAAGGACAGGGATCTCCAGATGTGGTAAGGGGTCAGTCCCCCTGTTCCCATACCCCTTCTCCTGATCTGACTCCTCATATCTGCAGAATCTGAACTGAACATAATGGTCCAAAAAGTCCAGACCCTGAAGGTGGTGTTCCTGGAAGAACCTTGGGGTCCCCCATACCTTAACCACTGGGGCCGTTCCTGAACAATGCAGACCCAGAGTTGTTGGAGGCGGGCTTGGAGGAAAGAGAGGAGAGTAGGGGAAGGGCAGGGAAGGGGAAGTGGGGTTTCAGTGTAGGAGGTCAGGCAGGCAGGTGCTCCCCCTCACAAGTGGAGGGGGGAAATCAAGGTGTCTATGGAATACAGGGGTGGGGCAGGGGGTAGAAGGGGGGTCTGGTCTCTTCCTCTTGAGGGGGTGGGGTGGGGAGGGGCATGTGCAGGACCCACCTGGTCTGCTACCGAACGGCGAGGGTGCCCCCGATCCCTCCATGTGACAAAAGCAGAGTCATACAGAGTTACCTGGTGAACAGCTAGGACGAAAACGGAGAAAACAGACGGGTCAAGGCCCAGCGGGGGGCAGGGGTCGGGTGGGGAGGGGGCTTCCTTCCACATAAGCTAAGAGTGAGGGAGAGAGGAGGGGACACACGTCCATCTCCGTTCGGAAGGGCAAAGCTGTGTGGATGTCTGGGGGAGACCCCAACTGGCTGGACCCCCTATGGACAGCATACAAAAGGGATTAGTCTGGATCAAGATGGGGGTCCCCACTGGGGGGGGGGGGGCAAAAGGAGAGACCTGCCTCTTCTCAGGTGCCCCCGTGCCCTCTTCCCTCCCCCTCCGGACCTTTTCTCTCTCTAAGACACCTGGTGCTTCCTATGCTGCTCAGGCTGTGAGTGAGAGATCCACACTAGAAAAAGGGCACTGGCTGGGGTTCTGTGGGGCCCCTCCCTCACCCCCTCTCCCACCCCCTGCATGTGTGGAGGGTGGGCAGAAGCAGGCATGGGGAGAAGCTCGCAAAGCGGACGGACGGACAGACAGACAAGACAGAGCGAAGCACACGGAGGAGTCACAAGCTGCACAGGCAGAGATGGCCGGGAGGTGGGGGAGAGGGGTCCAGACACGGGTGGGGCAGGGGCGGGGGTATGGCCATGAGGACACACGGAATAGAACAATGACATTGTAATTTCCACCTGAGCGTCGAGCAGCCGCTTCCGCGTTTCGGAGGCGTCGTGGGCGGCCGAGTGATCCCTGCGCAGTTCCTCCTCCACCAGCATCAACCTGCAGGGACAGGCTTCACTGGAGTCAATCCGGGCCCCCCCACCCAGCGGGCAGGCGGCGGGAGCCGGGGCCGCCAGCAGCTGCGGGAACGGGGGCCCCCCCAAGGCGGCCCCAAGGGGAGGGGAGCGGGGAGCCCTCTCCGCCGGAGGCCTCCTTTTGGGGGACCCCACCCCACCCCGCCCAGGCCCCTGCTCCCCTGGGGTGCGCCCACCCTCCGGCTCCTCTCCTGCCCTGGGCCTGGGCTCACCTGCCAATTATGCTCTTGATCTGGGAGTCCTTCTCCACCTGCTGCTGCCGGAGGCGCTTCTCGCTCTGCTCCAGGCGCTGCTGGTACTGCTGCAGGATCTTGCCCGTCTGCTCCTCCTGAGTCAGCAGCCGCCGCTCGTACTCCTCCAGCTTCCGATTCGACATGTGCAAGCGCTCCTTCAGCGAGTGGATCTCTTCCTCGTACTCCTTCACCTGTTTGCAGCAGGAGAGAGCAGAGGCGGGTCACTCTGTCGGTCCAGCCAGAACCCCGCCTCACAGACAGTAGGAAGTCTCACCCCATCCCATCTGGGTGTCGTCAGACCCTCCCCAGTGGGTGTCCAGGTACAACTGGGAAGGCGTTGCAGATATGAGTCTGGGGACAGATGAGCCCTTCCTGTTGGTGGACTGTCCATCCATTTCAGCACCCATAAGCTCAAACATTATTTCCCTCTTCAGTCTTTGTTTGGTGACTGCACATGGAAGGCAGAAGGATGCTGCCTTTTCTAGTGATTGGAGCATGGCTCTTGAGCCCTCTCCAATGTCACATTTTGGATCCTCTCCCCAGCAAGAGGGGTCCCCCCACCTTTACCCGGTCCAGCCGACTCTCGTCCATGGACTTGGAGTACTCCTTGAGCTTGTACTCCTCTCGCTCGATGTGGGAGCTCTCAATGTCGGCCGAGAGGTGAGGCATGTTGGAGACCCAGGCGACCGTCCGCTCCGAGGCCGGCATGGCCGGGTTCAGCGTTGAAGGCGTGTGTGATTGCTGCCCAGGGAGAATAGGGGAAGGAAGGGAAGGAAAAAAAGGGGGTGGCCAAGCCATCAGTCTCACTGGCCAGTTAGAAGCCCCACACTACAATGCCCAGTGATGTCACCCCTCCAGCCACTAGCATTGCACACAGACAGGCACCATGGGATAGGGATGTTGTAGCCTGGTCAGAAGAAGAGGAATGGGATGCTGGAGTAGATTTGGAGGGCCCAGAGGGGGATAAAAGTAGTCTGGAGAGAGTTGTTTTGAAATCTCATGAGACTGGAGAAAGCAATATCAGTTTTCATGAGAATCTGTCTGAAATACAGGCTGAGATAAATGTGGGAGACGAAATGATTGTTCAGATCGAGGTGCTTGAAAAACTTCAGAGACAAAGTGAAAAACAGAGACAAACTCGCTTTCCCCAGAAGCTTAGAGATAAGGAGAGGAATAGCAGGTGTGTGAGGAACGATGTCATGGGAGGGTTTGAGGCCTTTGAAGTAGTTTTCTGCTGGTACAATTCTTTGTGAGAGCAACGATGGATTCAGGTGAACAGCTCTCAGTTCGTGGTCCTATGTTTTTGGATTCATGGATTCAATTTGTAAGTTTGTATGTGTGCCAAATTTGGTTCAGTGAATAAAAATACATCCTGACTATCAGATATTTAAATTACGATTCATAACAGTGGCAAAATTACAGTTAAGAAGTAGCAGCGAAAATAATTTTATGGTTGGGGGTCACCACCACATGAGGGACTGTATTAAGGGGAAGGTGGAGAAACACTGCTCTAGGGCATCATTTCCCACATTGGCAGGCCCTCCTCCCCACAGCCGATCAAGACCTACTTCCTTGGGGACTTGCTTGTGTAGATCCCTAAAGCCAGAAGTGCCCTCCCATGGGGTATCCCAAGCGTGACCCCCGTGGCCTCACCCATGTGGCCACCCACCTGCTTGGTGAGGGATGGCTTGAGGGCGGAGGGCGTCTCCTTGGCCAGCGACTGCTGGCGCCCGCGAGGAGGGGCTCCGTAGGGGACTTCCGGCTGGAGGAGGTTGCCGCTGGAGGGCCGGGGCTTCTGGGCGGCTGAGACGGTCAGCTGCTGGGACTTGCCCCGCTGGAGAGGGGGCTGCGGGGGTGTGGGGCCAGCCGTGGCCACAGAGGGGGCACGCTGGGGCTGGGGCCCGATGGTGATCTGCGGGGGCGAGAGCATGTTCTGCAGGTTTTCCTGCAGGGAGAGCTGCCGCTTGGTGAATTCGGAGCCCTGCCGGGTGAACTCGTCACTGTAGCTGTGGCTGTGGATGATGTGCTTGTTGGAGGCAGCAGCGGCGGCGGCAGCGGCGGAAGAGAGGTCCTCGCTCTTGCTGTAGCCGTGGAAGGGGGCGAAGGTGGAGGCGGAGGCATCCGGGTTGCCCTCGGCTGGCCGGTGCGGGTGCGAGTGCGAGTGAGGGTGATGGGGCCCGCCGTGGCCCCCAGCTGCCGGCCCGTCAGAGGCCATGTGGAAGAGCGGGTTCTGGAAGGAGAGGGGTATCCTCAGCTGCTGGGCCGAGGAGGTGCCCCCGCCCAGCCCGTCGGTGGTGACGCCCATCTGGCTGAGGCGGAGGCCGGCGGCGATGCTGGAACCGCTGCCCTGGGAGAGGCGGCTGGGCCGGAGCCCCAGGCCGGCGGTGATGGAAGCCTGACTGCTGTTGAGCAGGTCACCCACGCTATGGAGGTTGGAGATGCTGTTCATGCGGCTGTCCTGCAGGTCCAGCATGGAGACGCTCTTGTTGACACTTAGCACCTTCTGGTCCGGCTCCGTGATGTCCGAGCTGCTGGTGCAATAGGCCGGGGAGGAACGGGCCAGCGGGGGCCGGGCCACGAAGAACATGTCCCCCTTGGAGCCCTTCTCCTTGGTGGGCGAAGGCAACCGGGTCATGTCTACAGAGCTGCAGAGAGGGAAAGGAGGAGAAGGAGGACGGAGGGAGGGAGAGACAGCATGTCTGGTCAGCAGAGAGGAAACAGGACAGTGGGACTGATTCCAAAAAAGGGCCCATTGCTCACCTGTGCTGCATGGCTGCAACAGGAGCGCACTTGGAAGCAAAAACACCTGCAGAGCCAGGGACCCAGACCATAGGATAGGCTCTGGGTAGGCACCTGCCAAGGATGCATTGAGGACCCCAGCAGTTGGGGACCCAGTTGGGCCAGAGTGAAGACAGAGGGTGCCAGGGGACAGTTCCATCTTATCGCCTGCATATGTCATCAGCTGGGGACCCCTCCCTCCAGCACCAACTGCCGCTCTGGGCCAGAGTGAAGACAGAGGGTGCCAGGGGACAGTTCCATCTTATCGCCTGCATATGTCATCAGCTGGGGACCCCTCCCTCCAGCACCAACTGCCGCTCTGGGCCAGAGTGAAGAGAGAGGGGGCCAGGGGACAGTTCCATCTTGTTGCCTGCATATGTCATCGGCTGGGGACCCTTCCCCCAGCACCAAGTGCCGCTCTGGGCCAGAGTGAAGACAGAGGGGGCCAGGGGACAGTTCCATCTTATCGCCTGCATATGTCATCAGTTGGGGACCCCTCTCCCCAGCACCAACTGCCGCTCTGGGCCAGAGTGAAGAGAGAGGGGGCCAGGGGACAGTTCCATCTTGTTGCCTGCATATGTCATCGGCTGGGGACCCTTCCCCCAGCACCAAGTGCCGCTCTGGGCCAGAGTGAAGACAGAGGGTGCCAGGGGACAGTTCCATCTTATCGCCTGCATATGTCATCAGCTGGGGACCCCTCCCCCCAGCACCAAGTGCCGCTCTGGGCCAGAGTGAAGACAGAGGGGGCCAGGGGACAGTTCCATCTTGTTGCCTGCATATGTCATCAGTTGGGGAACCCTCCCCCCAGCACCAGCTGCCGCTCTGGGCCAGAGTGAAGACAGAGGGGGCCAGGGGACAGTTCCATCTTATCGCCTGCATATGTCATCAGTTGGGGAACCCTCCCCCAGCACCAACTGCCGCTCTGGGCCAGAGTGAAGAGAGAGGGGCCAGGGGACAGTTCCATCTTGTCTCCTGCATATGTCATCAGTTGGGGACCCCTCCCCCCAGCACCAAGTTCCGCTCTGGGCCAGAGTGAAGACAGAGGGGGACAGGGGACAGTTCCATCTTGTTGCCTGCATATGTCATCAGTTGGGGAACCCTCCCCCCAGCACCAACTGCCGCTCTGGGCCAGAGTGAAGACAGAGGGGGCCAGGGGACAGTTCCATCTTATCGCCTGCATATGTCATCAGTTGGGGAACCCTCCCCCCAGCACCAGCTGCCGCTTTGGGCCAGAGTGAAGAGAGAGGGGGCCAGGGGACAGTTGGCCAGAGACACAACCATAAATAGCAACCATGGCTATCAACCACTAGTGGTGGGTTAGTGGCTATAAAGTGACCAAGGGAATGAACACACAGGTACACATTGAATGAGTTGGATGTGCAGGAACCCCAAGGGTACAGGGGTCGGCAGAACTTACCTGTTGATGCCCCGCATCATGTAGGACTGCATGTCGACAGAGCTGCATGTGGGGAGGGGGAGAATGAAAGAGACAGGGAGCCAAGGTCAGGCCGGATGCTCATGGGGGCACCCAGGGCCCCTACCCTCAGCAGGCCCTCCCCTTGTGCCCCAGAGACTCAGCACCCCTCCCTGGTCTCCCCCACCCACCTACTGAGGGCTTTCCTTCCACCCCTGGCCCCCAAGACACCCCCCCCGCTCCGTCCCGCCAGACCTGTTGAGGTCGCGCATCATGTAGGAGGACTGGACATCGGTGGAGGGTCCGCGGAGGATGAGGGGCTTGGCTTGGAGCCGGTCGCCCTGGTGGCTGGGCTGGCGCTGGATGTGGGGGTTCCTGAGAGCGAGGCTGATGTCATTGAGGAGTCGGGGCAGCGGGCCGAGCTTCATCAGGGCTTCCTGTCGAGAAAAATGGGGTAGAAGGAGAGGGAAGATCCTCAGGACTGGGGCCTCAGTCTGTATGTGGTGGCCACCTGGGACACTGGGCCCACCCCATTAGGACTCTCTCTCCTCAGCAGCCCCCTCTTCTCTCCCCAGTCCCCACACCTTGCCCAGTCCCACCCCCAGGCAGTGAGTGAGGGTCCACCTTGCTGAGCTGGGGCATGACCTCCCAGAGGAGGGCATGGAGGGTGGAGAGCTCCCGGCCCAAGTCGATGTAGCCCTCGAAGCTGCTGCTGTTGGTGAGCGTGTCCAGGTTGGAGATCTCATAGAGGAACTGCTGCATGCTGGCCCACTCCATCTCCAGGAACTCGTTCATGAAGGCCATGTACTCCTCCTTGCTCCCAAACCTGCGTCAAAGGCACAACGGGGAGAAATGAGGGACAAGGGTCAACCGAGAAGCCCGGGCACTCGAGCGCCAGAACTAGAGGTCAGTGTCACAGGGAGAAAAGTGGCAAAAATATTAAAAATTAACTAGGTATTTTTAATTACAAAAATGTGAGTGAAGCACAGAAAGGATTAAATGGATGCAAAGACTCAGCAAAAGCTGCAGTTCTATAGAACCAGTAGGCCTGGGCAATCCATAGTTCTAAATGGTTCTAAAGTACTTAAAAAACAAAAGTTCTGGGGGCGAAAATTTCAGAACTCTAACAAAACTTTCAAAATGTAATTATTATTTCATTATTGGTTATTTTTATGATAGAACCAATTAGGAACTACCATTTATAATGAAATTTTGAGAGTTTAGTTAGGAGTTCTGAAATTTTCACCACCAGAACTTTAGCAACACTGTAGAAGCAAAGCAACAGCACCCCCTAGTTTTCACCACCAGAACTTTAGTTTTGTAAGTACTTTAGAACCATTTAGAACCATGTATTGTCGAAGGCTTTCATGGCCAGAATCACTGGGTTGTTGTAGGTTTTTTCGGGCTATATGGCCATGGTCTAGAGGCATTCTCTCCTGACGTTTCACCTACATCCATGGCAAGCATCCTCAGAGGTTGTGAGGTCTGTTGGAACTAGGAAAAAGGGTTTATATATCTGTGGAATGACCAGGATGGGACAAAGGACTCTTGTCTGCTGGAGCTAGGTGTGAATGTTTCAACTGACCACCTTGATTAGCATATAATGCCCTGACAGTGCCTGGAGCAAACTTTTGTTGAGAGGTGGTTATCCTTGTTTGTTTCCTCTCTGTTGTTGTAATGCCAACAGACCTCACTACCTCTGAGGATGCTTGCCATAGATGCAGGCGAAACATCAGGAGAGAATGCCTCTAGACCATGGCCATATAGCCCGAAAAAACCTACAACAAGCCATTTAGAACCATGGATTGACCAGGCCTAATAAGCAAGTGTGCCTGTAGCTTAGCCATCAGTCTGAGGTAAACCTCAGTGGGAGAAGAGTTTCAGTCTGTGTGTGAGGTAGCCCTTAGTCTTTGAGAGAAGCCTCTGTGTGAGGTAGTCCTTAGTCTGTGAGAAGGCCTCAGACTGTGAGTAGGCCTGGTGTGAGAAGCTTCGGTGAGAGAAGCTCCAAGTTGAAGACTTTGTGTGTCAAGTCTCATGTGTAAAGCTCCAGTATAAAGGCTACTGTGTGTAAAAAGCTACTGCGTGAAGCTCCAGTATAAGTTTGGTGTGAGAGGAGGCTCGGTGAGAGCAAAGCTGTTTATCTGCATGAGGAAGAAGCCCAGCATGGAAGCAAAGAAGGAAGTATAAAGGACTTTATTTGTGTTGTGGAAACCTTGTGATTGCAAATAGTGCAACTATATTATTTTACTACAAAGAAAAGCTTCCTATGGAAGAGATAAAGTTGCTCTGTGTGTTTTTGTCCTTTTTATCACTTTGGGCTCCTGGTCCTGGGTCATGCTGCTGCTCATAAGTTCCTCAGCTGTACATTTATGAGGAGGGTCTTTTGTCAATAAGCCCTCTCGCCCAACAAAACGTGCCAAGAGGAAGGACTCCCTCAAGCAAACCCATGTCGGAACCACCTTCCATCTGGAAATCTATGTCCTCAACGTGAAAGAAAAGCCATATGGATCCAGAAGAGGTCTCCACAGTCACTTATGGACCCACTGCCAAGACTCTACCCCTGGAAGACAATCAGACTCATGGGCCACCGGGGATCGATTGCCTGTGACAGGGGAATCCTCTTGCTCCAGCTCACCTATTCTTCCATTGAGTCTCCCTATGGAGAGTTCACTGAGGACATGGGGCCAAATGGTCAGGTCAAAAAGAGGAAAGGAAGGAAGGAAGGAAGGAAGGAAGGAAGGAAGGAAGGAAGGAAGGAAGGAAGGAGAAAGACCGGGAAGAGGAAGAGAGGCAAGTGTGACTCTCACCCATGCTGGACCATCTTAATGCTATCCTCTGCCCACCACTAACGTGATCAAGAAGGAATCCCAGTACTCATTCCTCTCCTCCCCTTTCCCTTCCTTCCTTCCTTCCTTCCTTCCTTCCTTCCTTCCTTCCTTCCTTCCATCCTTTCTAGAAATAAGAAGGGTGAGCCTTCTGCGTGGGACTCATGTGTTCCTAACTCTTCTGCCCAACTTTCCAAGAGAAACAGACTGGGTATCATCCCACACGTTTCCATGATTTTTCAGTCCGGAAAAGATGGAGCCATCACAGCCAGGTCTCATACTTAGAGGGGCATTTGGGACCCATTGCCGGGAGGAAGGGTGAGGGTTCCTGGGGATAGATTTCTGACCAAAGAGAAGCACTGAGAAATCGTGGGTGTTGACTGGAGAGTGGAGCATTCCCCATGCGTGTCCCACTCAGAGGAAAGTCCCGTGGTTCTCAATGGGATCGGTTCCTTGGAAAGGACATGTTAGGATTAAAGGTAACAAGGGAAAGCACTGAGTTCTGCCTGCAAGGCTCTGCGACACCCAGCCCCAGCTGATGCCAGGGATTGGCTCTGTGTCTACACGATAGAGATCCAGATTTAAGGAGCAAACGTGACAGCCTGGATAAAGGAAACAAAGACTTATGAAGAAAGAACTCCATTCTAAGTTGTTCAGGGAGTTGCATCTCAGACAGCCAAGAGAGGAGTCATGGGAAGGAGAACCAGAAGGAGAAAAGAAGGAGGAGGAAAGGGAGGAAGAGGAGGAAAAGAAGAGAAGAAAGAGGAGGGGAAGATGAAGGGGAAGGGGGGGAAGGAGGAGGAAGAAGAGGAAGAGGAGGGGAAGAGGAAGGGGAAGAAGAAGAGGAAGGAGAAGAAGAGGAAGGAGGAGAGGAGGAGGAGGAAGAGAAGGAGAGAAGAAAAGGAGGAGGGGGAGAGGAAGAGGAGGGAAGGAGGAGGAGAGGAGGAGGAAGAAAAGGAGGAGGAGGGGGAGAGGAAGAGGAAGAGGAAGAAGAAGAGGAAGGAAGGAGGAGGGGAGGAGGGGGAGAGGAGGAGGAAGAGGAAGGAAGAGGAGAGAGGAGGAGGAAGAGAAGAGAGAAAAGGAGAGGGGAGAGGAAGAGGAGGGAAGGAGGAGGAGAGGAGGAGGAAGAAAAAGGAGGAAGGGAGAGGGGAGAGGAAGAGGAAGAGGAAGAAAGAAAGGGAAGAAAGGAGGAGGAGGAGAGGAGAGGAGGAAGGGAGGAGAAGAGGAAGGAAAGAGGAGGAGGGAGGAGGAGAAAGAGAAGTGAGAAAAAGGAGGAAGGGGGAAGGAAGGAAGGAGAGGAAAGAGGAAGAGGAGAAGAGGAGGGAGGGGAAGAAGAAGAAATGAAGAGGAGGAAGGAGGAGGAAGAGGAGGGAGAGGAAGAAAAAGAAAAGGAGGAGGACGAGGATGAGGACGAGGAGAGGAAGAGAAGAGAAGAGGAAGAGGAAGAGAAGGAGAAGAGGAGGAGGAGGAGAAGAAAAAGTGAGGGTGGGGGAGGAGATGGAGGAGGAGGAGACAACCCCCCTAAGAGTACCAACTGAACCCCCAGAAAGATAACCAGGCGGAGAGGCAGGGTGCTTCAGGTGACAAGATGTCCTTCCTTCTCTCACCAGAAACAGGGTTTGCCTTAGAACTGCAAGTCATAGAATCATAGAATCCTAGAATCAAAGAGTTGGAAGAGACCTCCTGGGCCATCCAGTCCAACCCCATTCTGCCAAGAAGCAGGAATATTGCATTCAAATCACCCCTGACAGATGGCCATCCAGCCTCTGCTTAAAAGCTTCCAAAGAAGGAGCCTCCACCACACTGGGCAGAGAGTTCCACTGCTGAACAACTCTCACAGTCAGGAAGTTCTTCCTAATATTCAGATGGACTCTCCCTTGTAGTTTGAAGCCTTCCGCGTCCTAGTCTCCAAGGAAGCAGAAAACAAGCTTGCTCCCTCCTCCCTGTGGCTTCCTCTCACATATTTATACATGGCTATCATATCTCCTCTCAGCCTTCTATTCTTCAGGCTAAACATGCCCAGTTCCCTAAGCCGCTCTTCATAGGGCTTGTTCTCCAGACCCTTGATCATTTTAGTCACCCTCCTCTGGACACATTCCAGCTTGTCAATATCTCTCTTGAATTGTGGTGCCCAGAATTGGACACAATATTCCAGGTGTGGTCTAACCAAAGCGGAATAGAGCATGGGGAGCATGACTTCCCTAGATCTAGACACTAGGCTCCTCTTGATACAGGCCAAAATCCCATTGGCTTTTTTTGCCGCCACATCACATTCCTGGCTCATGTTTAATTTGTTGTCCACGAGGACTCCAAGATCTTTTTCACACGTACTGCTCTCGAGCCAGGCATTGTCCCCCATTCTGTATCTTTGCATTTCATTTTTTCTGCCAAAGTGGAGTATCTTGCATTTGTCACTGTTGAACTTCATTTTGTTAGTTTTGGCCCTTCATCTCTCTAATCTGTCAAGATCGTTTTGAATCCTGCTCCTGTCCTCTGGACTATTGGCTCTCCCTCCCAATTTGGTGTCGCCTGCAAACTTGATGATCCTGCCTTCTAGCCCTTCATCTCAGTCCTGAATGAAGATGTGTATTCATAGAGCTCTTACAACTGATGGGAATCGAAGGAAAGCAAACAAAAGTCCTTTGTCCCACCCTGGACATCATTCCACAGATATATAAACCCATTTTTCCTAGTTCCAACAGACCTCACTACCTCTGAGGATGCTTGCCATAGATGCAGGCGAAACGTCAGGAGAAAAATTGCCTCCAGAACATGGCCATAGAGCCCGGAAAAACCGACAACAACCCGAAGGAAAGACCGTTTCTAACCCTCTTACTGCTGCCCACCCCCGTGAAGCCCTGTTGCCTTTCCATCCAAATCCCCTTCTCGCCTGGCACCCACGGGGAACACAACTGACGTGATTTGGGGAGATGGACAAGGGCAATAGAGGGGGGTGGGGTGACCTCTGCCCTCCCCTTCCAGGGACTCTGCGGGAGGGAGA